TCATGATTAATTTTATTACTCTTGATATAGCATGTGATGTGACCATATGTAATACATCAATTCATAAAATAACAAGTATTGAATTAAAATAAAAAAAATGCTTATTAAAAGTTTAATAAAAATAAAATGGTAAGTTCACGTCATTGTTCTCAGTACATATATACATCCCGTCATTTCGAAGAAAAGTTTACCTATATACTGCGCCATTCGCTTTTGTCTGAAGGTTATCAAAATACTTTTATTTATTTTACTGCAAATATTTTTCAGTGATTGAAACAATAAATGCTCACCGTTCCAAACTGGACTCAACAGTTCAAACGATTCAAACCTTGAAAGTGACGTCATACTTGCAGGTAGAAATGATGAACAAATGATTACGTCATTATTTCTCAAACGATAAAAATACCTGACGAGATAAAAAGCAGTTCAATTTCCGGCAAAAGTTGGATGCTACGTTCTGCCTTGAATAAATTATTCGAATTCTCCGATAAAAGCTAGATTTATATGAATAGGTTATCATTTATTCACAGATTATAAATCTAGACGCCAAGGTCTGGAGCATTTTTCGTAAACTTTAATAGGTGACTGGACTTCGCAAACCAGCCGACCCAATTCCCACAATTCCATAGCTAAATTTGATGCATTTGAATCTGATTTAGTGTCTGAAAAATATATATTTAGAATTTAGATTTTTTTTTAAAAATTTAACTAGAAGAAAAAAAAATTGTTTATTGTTCCTGTGAACAATTCAATTTTCACAAAGATCTTTGACAATTTCACATTTTTTTTTCGAAAAAGAATTGTATATTTAGGACACATATTTCTCATCGTGTTCTATTTTAGAAAATTTTTCTGTGTTACTTTTATCCTAATAAAATTTCAATTCTCCTTCCCATGAGAATAGATATTCATATATATTTTTATTTAGATACATTTTTATTTATATATTTATATATATTTACATATATATATTTACATATATATATTTATATATATCATTTCGAATAGTCTTGAATGAAAAAAAATCGTAAGGTTTTTTATTTTTCGCATTAACACATTATTCTGTATGAATTCAAAAAGGGACTGGCAGTGATTTACTGAAAACAAGCAAAAGTTTCTTGTTTTAGCTTTCACTGTACTGTAAACTAATCAAACAGTTAAATTGTGTATCGAAATATGTATTCTTTAAATTACAATTAATGTTTTTCATTTAATAAAAATATTTCACATATTAATAAAAATATAAACAATCAAACATTTAGATTTTATCTAAAATAAATTCTCGAAAAAATTGGAAATTAATATTTTAGAACATTTATAAAAATAGATGTTTGAAAAATTAAAGTTAAACCATTATTGTGAATTTTTTAAATTTTTTTTTAAGTTTACGAAATATGAAATATGAATCCTAGGTCCTGTAATTCCTGTGACCAAACTTGAAGACTAGCTCTAGAATATACGTATTAAAATTAAGTGAGCAGACACCCATAAACAAGTTTGGGTTGTTTAAAATTTGGCTATTATCCAATGAGGGTGTTAAAAACTTTAAGACTTTAAGTCTGATAAAAATCAACCCTTTAAACTTATTGAGTTTATAAAGAAAAAAGTCTTTATTTTATCTAATTAAAGTAAATAAGCAATGAACAAAAAAATATGTCATAATTTACCATGTTTTTCAAGAGGTTTGAAGCAACGGTATAAAAAAACGTTAACACTTTAAAAGAAATTAAATCATTAAATTTTCTTTTAAAATAAGTTTGCAAAACATTTATATAAATATTCAGACAACTATGAAGGGAAAAAAAATACAGACAGTTTTTAAATATCGGAATATATAAAAAGAAACTATAATAATTTTTTTTAGTCTGTTATTGTAAGTATGTATAAAAATTTTACATTTCAGAACTTAAAATTTTTATTTCTATGAGTCTAATAAGAAATTTTTAAGACTTATAAGCGAAACAATATTACTTACTAATAATATATACTTAAACGCAGAATTAAGTATACATAAATGTATACTTAAACGGAAGTGAGACACATAAGACAATTATCTGTAAAACTATGTAAATTAACACTTACTACAGATAATAAGTTTACATTTAATAATTTTAGAAATCTTTAATATTTGATATTTTAACACAATGATTCAGTTTAAAAAAATATTACTTACGTTTAAAAAAAATCTGATTTCCTTAAAAAGAAATCATGTTCCCTTTTTACATATTGTAACTCAAGCCTTTAATTATATTTAATATTTTTACTCAATTTCAATTATTCAATTTTAATAAAAATCCGATTTAAATACAAAAAAAACTACAAATCAGATTTTAATTTTTAAAAAAATTATTTCTTTTTTACACCCTATTTCTCTTACAAATGATGTTTTCACTCAATAATTCAAAAGAACATTTATTTAAAAATAAATAAATTTAACTAAAAGTTTATTTAATTAAAAAGAACAGTTTATTTATATAAAAAAAGAAAAATGTCTTTCACACTCTGAATTCCACCTCTTCTATTGTATTTGTTACTTTTACCTAGTAATTCTGCTTAAAAAGAAAATCGGACTTAAATATTAATACTTCTTCTTCTTGGACACTACAGTCGGTTACCGGCTAAGGCCGTCTCAGTCAGTTTACCCCATCTAGATCTATTCGATGCCATATTTCATATAACATATCTGTTAACTCCCAAGTCCTTTAACCACTTCTCAACTCTATCCAACCATCTTATTCTAGGTCTTCCTCTTTTTCTTTTTCCCTCTGGTGTTTGGAAGGTTATTTGCTTAACAACATCTTCATCGCTATATCGGAAAATATGTCCTAGCTACCTTATTTGAGAAACCTTGAACATTTTTAGTATGTTAGGTTCTTTGTATTTTACTATTACTAATAATAATAAAATTAAATAAAACAGAAAACCCTATTCTTTTCTCTTTTTTTACGTCTTGGTTTCTACCCATTCCTCTGTAAATATCATCTTTGCTCAATTAGATTTTAAAAAAAATCTGATTAAAATAAAATTTTAAAAATTTGATTTTAATAAAAAAAAAAAAAAAATAATGTTTTTTCTTGCATCTTAGAAACGATCCCTTCTCTTGCATTTGATATTTTTCTCCATAATTCGATTTAGAAAAAAATTTGATCTAAATGAGAAGAATATCTTATTCTAATAGTAAAATGTCATGAATATATATTTTTTGTTATCCCCCCCCCGCTCCTACTCGATCCCTCCATGGAGCGCAAAGTATTCTTGGGTTTCGATTTGTTTTTCCCCCACCTTCCTTTTTCTAGTGTACCCTCCTGTTTCAGTTTCCGATTTCTAGAATTTATTTATATTTAGCTAGTTTCTCATTTACTTTTAAGAAAAATATAATAAGGTACAATCTGTATTTCAATTTCAAAAATTTAAAGTATGTAATGCATATAATCTATTTTGTTTAATATTTAAGGACCAACATAAAAATGTGACTTCTTACTTTTAACAACAACAATTTATCAGAACACACATTAAAAGTATTTAGTGGAGTGTGATTATCTCATTCCTGACAATGTTGAGTAAAAGGCGATCGGCTTAAAAAAATACAGCATTAAAATTGTGACTTTTCTGGATTTCTTTATTTTATTTCATTGGAGAACTAATTCTTTAACTTTCAACAACCACAGAAATGGCACAGTGAGTTATTTTAAGCAAAAAGCAACATTAATATAACATTTAAGAGTTACGTATCCAAAATTAGCAATTTTACCATTTCAACAAAAAAGCATTTCCCATATTTATAAATCATTAGTATTTTAATCCCTATTTTTTTATTATCTAATTGAGGTATTTTAACAACAAACAACGTATAAGTAATCTGAGCCTACAAAACTGTTTATTATTTCCAATAAATCCCTCGTCCTCTCCCCTCTTTTTTTCTACTCTTTTTTTTAAAAAGAAATACACAAACTATAGTAAACTCTCTCATGAAATTTGCCAATAACTTTTTTCACGACCAAACCTTAGAGTAAAAATATACGAAAGCAGCTTAACAAACAACAGCTTTTCGAATATTACATTGACATACATATTTTGCCTACTTTTATTGGGAAATTAAAATGCAGAGGTATATTGAACTTAATGATTGGTAGTGTAGATATAACTGACTTGCTAAACTTATAGTTATTCGATGAGCCGATTATTTAATCGATATATGCTTAATTTAATATTTATCAAACTAGCAATTTAAATAGTTTAGATAAATAATCTGAAGGAAAAAAAAACGAAAAAAATTAGATAAAGTAAGAAAATAAATTGCCTTATTTTTTTACTTTTGCCAACACTTTTGTTATTTATTATTTATTTTTTTATTTTATTATTACTTTTTTATAATAAGAATCCTGTTGAATTTAACAAAGTATTTAAATTATAACCTTAGTTTTATTCACAGAAGTATGACTTAGTTTAGACAGAGTTTAGAAGTAAATATACATTATTCCAATTATGTATAATTCCTATCATGTTTTAGTTTTTAATAGGACATAACGACTATCGACACCATAGACTTTGAAAATAACCTTTTTGGAAATTGATAAGATTTAAAACTGATAAACAAGGTGAGAGAATGTTTTTTTGGTGCTTCATATCATTTAGTAGTAAATTAATAAATAATATACTCTTTTAAAAAAAAAGATAATCTTGCCAGATAATCATCTATTTTTTTTTTTTTTTCGTTTTGACAATTTTAAGAGATTATTAACATAAATGTGTATCCATACTGTTATATGTGAGTAAACATTCATTACAAATTATCTAGTAAAGGATAATCTTTCCATATTATGAACGATAATTCATAGCAAGTTTATCAATATGTGATGATAATTTTATCATATAATCCTTTATCCTTCATTCATGAATTTGTACTATGTATGACGGCGGTTCATATCATTTGATGATAAAAATGAATTAGTAATTTACATCAATGAGGAAAAGATAACAAGAATCTTACCAGATAATCATCTATTCTTCTTTCATATTGATATCCCCGTTGCACTTTGGTGGCATTTAATGCATGAGTTATATGAAGTGCACTAGCATCGAATCGTCCGGCCATACTATGTTGATTTCTGATATCCGGCTCATGTGTTCGCGGTGAAGATAAAGCACTCTTAATGCCCAAGGCATCCGCATCAAATGTACCTTTCCCAAAACCACGAATTTGGTCGTTGACAAGATGGTTTGTTTTTGGTACACTTAAGGCAGCTTTAATACCAACAGACGAACCATCCAGATGTCCTGGGCCAGTTTTTGGCATGTGGCTCTGACAATACACTTCCTTGTCATCTTGGTCCTGCTGATTGTTGTAGTAGGTCCTCAACGTAAGTTTAGTGCCACAGACGAGGCATTTGAAGCATCCTTGATGGAAGAAGGTGAAGTCCTTCAGCGGACCAACTTTGTCCACTTGGTACACGGTTTGTCCACAGCGTAGGCAGCTGTTTTCGTATCTATTCATGCTGCTAGAGTTAGAGAAGGAAACTTCACTTAAAACCACCATTCATACTTTTAAAAAACCAATTGAATTTCTTATAGATACCTGTTGCTTTGTGTGGAATGGCAACACTTATTCGATTCCGATCAAAAATACTTTAAATTCTGCAAACGATTATTATCCTTTAATTAATCTCTATCACGCAGACGATATTTTTGGAATTATTTTCAGTCACGCAAATGATTTTCTCACTTCAGAATATACTAAATCTTCAGACTTTATAACAGCATCTCTCATCGAATGATTTCGCAATTTTTTTTCACGAATAAATAATCATTTTATCAAAAACTAGTGCTGGTGGAAACACCGCAAGTTTACTTAAATGTGCAGGTAGAACGGAAGAAAAAAGCATCCATTATGGCCGACAGCCTCTCTGACGAATGTGGGATGATCGTTGAAGCGTATCTCGCTTTGCATGGAACTTTGAAACTAGTTGGCCGAGCCCAAGGCCTTTTTTCACATCCCACTTAGGTTGAGGTGGGTGGGCAGAGCGCCATCTGGTCACAGGTAAGCAGGTAGGTGGCTGGCGATTTCTGTTTTCTTCACAGGTAAGCAGAAAAGATCCGTAGAATGTTTCCCAATTAGGTTAAACGTGGATGAAAAAGAGAAGGGAATTCTTACGTCACCGTCTATGCAATTGAGGAAATAATAGGGATGAACTGAAGGCGAGAAATAATAAATATTTTTTTGTTCTTCAATATCTGATCAATTATTTGTTACCCTTTGTTTCTAGAACTGTTAACTTTTAATTTTAATAGTTTTTTTTGAAATTGTAAATTAAATCAATTGTCTTTGAGGTTTTTGTTCTGAATGAATGAACTTCTTTCATATTATAATTCGTATAAATCTCATCTTATATTAAACTTCTTCAGTCTTGTTAATTTTTTCACCCGACATCATTATTATTATTGAAAACTTCCCGGATCACTATTTTAAATCTTTTTAAAATTATTAGAATCATTTAATCAAAAATATATATGTTCTTTTTACTTTTTTTTTTGTTTCCTAACAATTGGGATTTTTTTTTAACATAAAATATTTTAACTATCGAATATCATAGTTTAAAGGTCATTCCAACACTATTAACATTTCCTTATCAGAAAATAAATTACATTTCCAAGAAAAAAGTGTAATTGTCTCATTCTTTTGTAATCCTAAATTGCATAAAATTTTTAAAAAGAATTAAGTACGTAGAATTAAAATCTAAACAATATTAAAACAGTTATTATTCACTTTTTAACTAAATGTATTTTTATTAAGAACTTTAACACGCAAGACAAACACATTAATTAAATTTTCTTTCCTATGCCGCAATATTATTTTAAATTTTGAGGTTATCAATGTTTCAAGTTTCTTTAAAATTTTCTGAAGAGTTCAATATGAAACATATGTATTTCTACGTTTTAAGAAACTAGGATTTTTAATAAACAAAAATTAGTTCGAATATTAAATCCATTCTATAGTTAACTAAAATGCATTCTGTTGTCAGAAGGATTAATTAAATTTTTGTTGACAAGAAGTAAATTGTCTCATTATTTTAGACTCACAAAGCGTTTAAATATATAAATAAAAATTTGAATAATTAGAATTCAAGCGATATTTTTCATTTAATGCAAAATGAAATTCTTTAAAAATTTAATGCACAGCATGTTTTGTTATTTTTTTTCCAGCGACATTTTTTGTGAGCAAAAAGTAAATTGTCTTAATGTCTCCAAACTTACTTATCGCTTTAAACTCATAAGTTAAATTTTGAAAAATTAAAATTTAGACAATATAAAAAAGTTATTGTTCTTTTAATAAATTCCCTTTACAAATTTTCAATACAACATATTTTGTTTATTTTTTTAAATTTTTCTTGTAAAAATTATGACCACTTCCCTACAAGCTATATAGCTAAAATCTCATCTGCAGCCTAATAACAACACAAGTTTTAATCGTTTCCTGGCCACAGCAAGTAGAATTTATCTTCAACATTATAGACAAGATGAACTTATCGTCAATAAAAATTACGACTACTTTCAAACAAACTAGAGAGCTAAGATTTCATCTGCAGCTGCATATCTATTGTTTACACAAGTCTCAATCGTTTCCTTACCGTTGCAAGTAGAATGGATGATTACATTATCGCCTATGAGAAATTATCAATCAAAATTACGAAGATTTTCCAACAAATCTAATTAAATCTCATGTGGATCTATGTGCAGGGAGACAATATAAGTTTTAATTGTTTTCTAAGCACTGCAAGTAGGATTTATTATCAACATTATCGACAATATGAATTTATCGTCAATTAATTACGACCACTTTCCAACAGACTAGAGAGCCTAAGATTTCATATACAGCTGCATATCTAAGCTTCAACAGTTTAATGACTATTGCAAGAAGAATAAATGTTTACATTACCGCCTATGAGAACTTATCAAAATTATGACGGCTTTCCAACAAACTAGAGAGTTAAAATATCATATGAAACTCTGCGCATTATGACATGGAAGTTTCAATCGCTCTCTGACCACTGATTATGGAATTTATAATCAACATTATCGTCAGTAAGACTTTATCTCCAAATAAAATTACGACAACTTCTCTCAAACTAGAAAGTTAAAATCACATTTGCAGCTCCATGGTTAAGGACAACACAAGATTTAATCATTTTCTGACCATTGCAAAACTTTATCGTCACATCGCCGACGATAATTTATCGTTAATCAGTATTATCATTACTTTAAAACAAATTAGAGAGTAAAAAATTCATCTATGTATGGTGACAATATAAGTTTTTTAAAGTATAAATTACCGGTAATGAGAATTTATCATCAATCAAAATTAGGACAACTTTTCAACAAACTGGAGAGCTAAAATCTACAGCTTCAAGCCTAATAACAATACGAATTTGGAATGCCAGTCATTTTCTGATTACTGCAAGCAGAATTTGTAAAATATTATCGCCAATGGGAACTTATCATGAATCTAAATTTTGACTACTTTTAGACAAGCAGGAATGTTCAAATTTTAATTTAGAGCTTTGTGCTGGATAGCAATAAGAGTTTAAATCATTTTTCAAAATTTAACGGCGAATAATGTAATATTTAACGCCAAATAGAATATATTTTTAATAACTAGAGTATTTCAAATTCAATTGAGGTTCCGTGACAAATGATTGATTATAGAAGTTGTAAATGTTTTTGAATAATTCAAGCAAACTTTATCGCCAATTTAAATTTCGTCCACTATCGAACCTAAACAAGTGTTCATGAAATTAGAAGAAAATAATGAAATAAAATAAAAATTTAAAAAACTAGATTTTTTAAGTAAACTAGAAAGGGGAAAATCATTTTACTTTTGTCATATTTTGAACGAAAAACGGAGGGCACATCATTCTAGTCATAAACTTCTACCTATACCGAATATTCCCCTCATGTCTTTCGAAAGTGAAGGGCCATGTATTTTACTTATAAAGACTGAAAAAAATAAAACATTTTCCCCATTTAAATTTACACAAGAAAAAAAAAACTTTTTTTAAATTTCTCTTTCCTCTTAATATTTTTAATGGGTACTTTATTCTTTGTTTAATTTTCATTATTTAATATTTATTCATAAAACTATGTATTTATTTTAAAAACTATAGTCAAAAACTAGATGTTTTATAAAAACTAATAGCTAAAGTGTGTTATATTAATGCATGCAAACTTTGATTCTTAACAAAAGGTCAAAACAAAAGAAATTTAATTAATTTTCAACTATTGCGTGTTCGGTATAGTGTGTTTCCCATCTTCGAGAAATAATTGTTGTCAGAAATATGTTCTATTAGTTCATTAAAAAAAATTTTCTTCACAAATTGAAGAGTATAATCATAATTAAATTATTCTTTTATGATAAATTGACTTGTCTACCGCTCCATACATCACACCTCTTCATTTATTTAGGCAAATCAATGTATGGCATTTAGCCAAAATTATTCGCATTTCAGGTTTCAAATTTTTTTGTCAAACAGTTCATGAATTAAATTTGCATTTCCTTCTGAATTTTAAATTTTTAAAGCTTATTTGAGATTTCTGTCTGTGAAAAAGAAGCAAAACGTCATTCAGATCTTTTAGTGGAGATCCTTTTGAAATTATTTGGAATGTTTTAAATTTGTGCAATTTGGAAAACGTTTATGATATATATAAGATAAATTTATTACTTTTTACGCTTTCTTAACATTGGCATCAGCATTAGTAAAAACTACATCGCATATTGCTTTATAATAATAAATATTTCGGTAGCAGCATCTCCAAAAACAATCCCTATATTATTGTGATGCCACAATAGTCATTACATATTTTCTAGTTTTAAAAATTTCTCTAATGTCTTAAACTTATTTTTTTTTTACCTTTCTTAACCAATGTTTAACCCTTTCCTTACGGTAAACCACGTTGCACCATCGCATGTGGTCCACATGTTGTACCAGCCGTAAGCAAAGGGTTAATTAAATTAAACCAATTATTTTATTTATTAGGAAAACAAAAATCTTTTTATTCTTAATTTCTTGCCACAAATATGTTTCAGTTACATGGTTATAAAACCCCGCTATAGTGAACCTTCAACGGACCGAAATTTCGGTTCACTATATCCGGGAGTTCACTATATCCGTTGCGCAGGGAATTTCACTAAGGGTTCCCAAACTCCTCCCTTTTATTGCATTATATTCATATAAATGACTGAAAAATATTATGTAATAGCAAAAAATGTGTTATTTTTCATCACTCTTCGTCTTGCGTACAAATAAAAATTAGTAATCTGTAGCTGATAAGCAATCCTCAACATTATATATGGAAACACTTCCCGACTCTCAGATAATTTTTCCTGAATTTCTGTTATTCCGCTTTTTAAACCTGTCTAACCTGCCATTCGAGCACATAAAAGTATATAGATGGTTTTAAAAATCAGTACAGTCGAACTCGTTTATAACGAGCACAAAGGGACCGTAACATGTACTCGTTAAATCCGAGTGCTCGTAATAAACGGGGTCCTTAAGGCAGGCGTGCAACCAGAAGAGGGGTGGGGGGTTGGGAGGTCGAATTATTGAGTTTACATAAAATTTAATTAATACTTACTTACTTTAATTAATTTAATTAAATACTTTTCTTAATTTAATGATAACTATCCCCCTCAACCAGTAAAAAATTTCAAGTTGCGCTACAGTCTTAAAGGAAAGAAGCAATAAACGGAAAGAAAAATAAAGGAAAAGATTCTTACCAAAACATTTTTTTTTCATTAATCTACATATTTAAAATAGTAGTTTGTTAGCTTACTTTGAAGTTTCAGTTCGCGGTTTTTTCGTATTTCGCGCGCATTTCTTATCATTTTGAAAAAAAGATTGCAAGACAGAAAAATATTGCTCGCTAAAACCGGGTCTTGCTCGTTAAAAGCGACTTCTGTTCCATAGACTTAACATTGATCCAACCAAATATTCTCGTTTCCCTCGGTAAATCCGAGTTCTCGTTAAATCCGAGCTCGTTATAAACGAGTTCGACTGTATATGTATTTATTTTGAAGTACAAATTTCAAAATTATTACAAAGAAAATGGGGGGGGGAGAAT